AAGACAGTGAGTGGGGCGAGCTGGCCGCCGGCGGGACAGTGGACGCGGGGAAGGAGTGGAAGGTGGCAGACGCCGCGGGGGCCGCGGAGGGTGTGAGCGGCGGCGGCTGGCGCTCGCTGCGCGCGGCTCGGGCTGCCCGGCGCTGATCCGCTCTCCTGACTCCACTCGGCTCACTCACTCTGCCCTCGGCCTCGCGGTTGTGCCCTCCTCAGCTCCGCCGCTGATTGACTAGCCGGCGTGCACTGCGACGCACGGCAAACTTGGCCCAGCGGGCGGCACAAGGGGTAGGGGCGGGCGATGGGGGAGGGGGGATAAGGGGGTGCCGGAGACGGGCGGGAGCTTGGTAGGGTCGGGATGGGGGAGAAACCTGGAAGCGGGGTTGGATCCGGAGCAGCTAAATCCACTTCCTAGGGGGCCGCACCGGGCGCGCTGGGCTCCCTCCGGAGACACGCCCCGCTGGGCTCCTCCTTCCTCCCCTCCTCCGGGGAGGCGGAGAACCTGCCCACCGCCCCAGTCAAGAGGAAAGGCTAACTTCTCCGGGATTAAGGGCCCAAGCCCTGGGGGATCCAGCAGGTGGGGGCTTGTCCCAAAGCCCACGTCCGAGTCCTAGGCCTTCTGCACGCGGCCACCTGACCCGGTACCCGCAGTCCACAGCCAGGTGAAGCCCTCTGGCCTCCATACCTGCCCCCCTCCCCGCCCCCGCGCTGCAGCCCCGCCAGAGGACGCTCCTAACCGCCCAGTTCCTGGGCCAGGAGGGAAAGGCGCTGGCATTACTCGCATTTGTTTCTCTGCAGGCATCAGGGGAACTTGAGACTCAGAACTGGCCCTAAAGCCTCCTCACCTGGGCTCTTCATACCTGCTTCCCATCAAATGGTGCTCATGGAACATCGACTTGCTCCATTCACCTCCCCGCCTCCACCCCTCTCCACCACGCCTGGTTCTGCTACCAGTTTAACCAAACCCTGAAGTGCGGAAGAAAAAAAAAAACAAACTTCGAGGCAATGGGACAAAGTCAAGATTGACCTTATATACCTGGCCCAAACCCTCCTCTGCACGTAGGAAACTGAGGCAGAGAAGGGAAGCGACTTGCTAATAGCCTGCAGCTAGGTGGGGTGGGACCAGAACTCTGGACTCAACTCCCCGGTCACATGGAATAAAGGTAGCCCAAGACCCCCAATTTTTCTCTACCCTCACCTCTCCGGGACCCAGTCTCCCCTTAGCCGTCAGAAAACTGGAAATAAGCTAGTCTTCCCTCCTTCCAAGCTTTGTTAGATTCCATTAATGAGTGTTTTTGAAACTCCCAGGTCTCCTTTAATGAAGGGAACTGTGCAGATTGGGAACTTGTCATTACCGGTGTTGTTACAATCTGCTTTAAGAGTTACAGTGAGAAGTGTCTCAGACACCTCGGGAGTGTGCTGGGAACTGGGCAGATAAAAGGGGCTGGAACTTATTATTTGGCTAGACTCTCAATTCCCATAAAATTACATAGGGTGAAGATATGAACCATCATTACAATTATCACCCTCGTAGGGTTTGTTGAGACTTCCTCCACTGTTGTTTGCAAACCACGTTGACAGGTTTGGCTATGAGGAGCTGTAGAAAAAACTAGCATACCTGTTGTTTTGAATGCCCACTGCAGAATCTTCTACATTTTATTAGCTCTTGGAGGTCGTCAGCCTAAACATATAGACTGTGACCTGTCTATAAGTGGAACTTAAAATATCTGTTAGTTGACAGAACAGTTAACTCTGCAACTAGGAGAGTTTTTCTAAAATACAATTGAATTTCCAGCCATTTCCCAGGGACTTTCAAATAGTACAGGTTTTCCTTAAACTGATAACCATCAGGTCCTCAAGGCATTGTTAGAGCTTAGCTCAGCACTTTTAACTTTCATTGATTGATGCATTTACTTAAAGATGTTCTTTACCAAAGAGAATATAACCTGACATGAAGCCCATATTAATAAAATGAAATCCAGCTCTGGTTGGGTATCTCAGTTGGTTAGAGTGTCACCTACATACACCAAGGTTGCAGGTTGGATACCACATACAGGAGCAACCAATGAAAACATAAATAAGTGGAATGACAAATTGATATTGCTTTCTTCCCATTCCCCCTCTAAAAATAAATTTAAAAAGTACATTATTAGAGAAAAATACATCATTTAAAAATTAAAGTAAAATGAAATCCAGTGGCCATAAGTGAGAAAAAGACACTCCCAAACCATGAAGCCCCAATCAGAAAGCTTCTTTTCACACCAAGACCAAGGGGAAGTCATTCCTTTCCTCCCAATTTACTCCTGCTCTTCCTGTTCATATACTATTAACCAAAACTTGAGCCTTTTCCACCAGAAACAGTAACCTCTGAATAAAAACGGATCTGGACAAGTCTAAACTTTACCACACAAGGCAGGAACCCCGAGCTCTGCTCAGAGGCGGCTCCCACTTCAAAGCCTCCTTTCATTTAAATACAAACAGGGTGAACAACTGGCAATCTGAGAAACAAATACCATCCAGGTTTTCTTTTCAGATGGCCTGCAGTTCCTCCTCCCCTCCCCCACCCCCTCCAGCTCCTCCCTTCCAAAGTGGCTCCTTAGTGGAGATGCATCCACTATAAATTCTCTGCTCAACACCAAAATTTGGGTTGGGGCTGCATGTTGAATGCAAGAATCAACAACTCATGATGATTAACCCTCATATAGCACTTTTTTGCTTTTTTATTGTGGTAAAACATACAAATATAAAATTTTCCATTTTAAAGTGTACAGTTCAGTAGCATTTAGTACCTTCACACTGGTGTGCAATCATCACCACTCTCTAGTTCTAGAACATTCCATCATCCCAAAAGGAAACCTTATACCCATTCAGCAAAGTTCCTTCCCTCCTCCCCACTAATCTTTCTTTTTTTAAAAATTTGTATTTCTTGATTTGACAGAGAGTGAGAGATGGAGGAAGGGAGAGAGAAACATTGATTTGTTGTTCCACTTATTTATGCATTCATTGATTGATTCTTGACTGGGGGTTGAACCCGAAAGCTTGGTATATCAGGATGATGCTCTAACCAACTGAGCTACCTGGCCAACACCTAATCTTCTTTCTGTATCTATTGATTTGCCTACTCTGGACATTTTATATAAATTGAATCCTGCAACATGTGAACTTTTGTGTCTGGCTTCTTTCATCTAGCATCATGTTTTTAAGATTTGTCCATGTAATAGCATGTATCAGTATTTCCTTTCTATGGATGACTAGTATTCCATTTTATGGATAGACCACTTTGGATCATATAGTACTTTACAGGTTGCAAAATTCTTCCAGGTGTACTCTCATGATCTTAAAATTTTTTTAAAGTAGATAAGCAAATTGAGTCTCGGAGTGTATGTGGCTTGTTCACAGCCACAGGGCTCTTAACTGGCTGAACCAAGACTGAAAAATGTAAGGCCTCTGACTAAATTCCATGCATTTTTTTGTTAGAAAACACAGTACTCTGGGTCTCATTTAGGGTTAGCAGTGAATGTGCAACTGCCCAGATCCTGTAGAAATGTCCCAGTTTCAGATTAATAAGTGTTCATTGAGCACTTATTATGAACCAGAGGCTGCTCAACGCTAGGAGGGAAGATCTACAAGCCAAAAGGAGTTTATAGTTTAATGTACTGGGTCAGACTTATATGTAAAGGCTTGCTTAAGTAGAATGCATTTACAGTATAATTGGGCAAACAGAACAAAGCATGCACTCATTGCTGCTGTCCTCCAAGCCAAGAACTAGTTGAGTCAGGTCCTCTCTCTCAGCTTTGGGAGCACCTCTCTTGGTCTGCTGGGGAGTTACCTTAGCCAAACATGGGGATAAGGAATAGAATTCAACTTCTCCCCTTAGGAGAGGTGGTTGTCCTACAGCCCTCAAGTTTCTCTCCCTACACAGCCCATCCCTTCCACAGCCATCAGAATAATAAGCCTTTGACAACATCACCTGAACAATGTTCCTACCTCCTCCATGGTATTCCATTGCTTTCCAGATCAATTCCCAAGTTATACAATAGATTTGGATCTTTGCTATTGGGCCATAGTCTACATTACAGCTTTCTTACTGGTCCTTCCCAACCCTGTATCTTGAGCTTGGCCCCACAAGAACATATCATCATTTTCCCTCATGCCATACATTTCCTTGCAACCTTACCATGCCCCTGCTAAGAATACCTCTTTATTCCCCTCCACTCCTTGGAAAACTCCTTTATACTCACCCATCAAGACTTAGCTGAGGTATCACCTCTTCTGGAAAACCTTCCTGGATTTCCCCAAGCAAAGCTAATGGCTCCTGCTTCTAGGCCTCCAAAGCACTATCTACACAAAATGACTACCACACTTGCCACTCAGCAGAGATCTTGCTTTCTCTGAGGATTCCTCTACCCCAGCCTCCAACAACTCTACTAGACTTTATTTTTATTTGAATGTCTATTGCCTGCCAGAGTACAGGTTTACCCAGTAGACAGTTACCAAGGGAATAAAAGACCTAGAATTATATCTGAAATCTCCTGGTTTTTAAATGTTAGTGACTACTTCAAAACACTTAAAAGTTTACTGGATAAACTCAACCTATCTTCAGCCTAGATATTACCAAGTCACTTGCCTCTCTCATTGCACACCTCTCCTTTTCAAGCAACCAAGCAGATAGTGTCTTCTGACCACTT